TTATTAGAGGTCACTAGGGTCACCCGCTTCAGATGTTATCAGTCCATTTAATGGGCATTATCAGCGGTTATCAGTCCCATAGAATGGCTTCAGACTGTCAGCTGGTTATATGAGGGATAAAGACACTAAGGTTAATGTTAGAGAAAATGATCTGGGCTAGGTTAAAATAGACCGGAGTATTCCTACGTATTAGTAGGTAAACAGTCTGAAGCCCTTATGTGGAACTGATAACCGCTTATAACATCCATTTAATGGACTGATAACACCAGAAGCGGCTGCTAGGATTGTATAAACTCTTAAAAGTAAAACTTACACAAAGCCATTCAAAGCTAGAAATTCTTTTTTTTTTTACTCTTTTTCTGTAAATATGTTTATTTCACGCAGGTCATCAGAGACCCGCCCCCTTCTCGCCCACCTCCTCCACCTCCAGTCATTGTGAGTAGAACTTGGATCGTTCCACAACGTATTTTCTYAAGGTCAGAATCCTCAGCTCGCTGCCATGCTGGCAGGGATGATTGAGAGAAAAATCTAAATCTGGGTGAACGCAGAAGGAGCGTCGGTGGAGCCTGGGAGGGAGGCAGGAGATGTTTTGGCAGATTTTTTTTTTTTATTTGTGGAGCTCGAGTGAGAAAACAACATTCTTTACATTTCAGTGTTACATGTTAGATGTTTTATGTTCCAGCCTGAGGAATGTGTGAGGAACGTGTCACCATTTCAATTCAGACTCAAAATTAGAGTTTGAAACATTTCTTAACTTTACTAATGTAGCTGTCCAAAATTAGATTATGTTTATTCTTTAGGAGCCAGAGGAAGAGCCTTTGCCCAAACACAAGTGGCCCACAGTGGACGCCTCCTACTATGGAGGGAGGGGTCCTGGAGGAATCAAACGCATGGAGGTAAAATAAAAAAAAAAGGTCCCAGTATTTTATTGACAGAGATGTCTAGACTAGTTTGTTTTCGACGTCTCTTTATTTTGAAGTTTATTCATGGTTTGAAATCAGTGCACTGCAAAAACTGTCTATCTAACCAAGTTTTAAAATCTTAAATCCAGCCAAAGGAAAAAAAAATCTTTTTGATCTTTTTTTCCAGTCTGATTTACTAAACAAAAACATGATGCAGGGCTATTCAACTGGCGGCCTGCGGGCCACATCTGGCCCTTGAGTGACCAAAGTTCGGCCCGCCAATTGGTTCATTCATCTCCTAAACCCAAACTCCCAGATTTCTACTTTAATGACTATAAGTTCTTTTAATTAAACATACACATGTGTAGTATGTACAGAAATGCCAGGATCTTGGCTAGAAGCTGGTAAAACCTGCAGTATTTCTATAAACACTCAAGGCAGTTAAAACTACAAGCAGCTGAAGATAAAAAACAATAAAAGTGAAAATAAAATTGGTTTAAAATTTAGAAAAATCAGAGATTTCAAAATTATAT